GCCGGCCTCGGCTACCGCTTCGAGCTGATACCGGACACCAACGGCGGCATGAGCGCCGGCGGCATAGTCCTGGCGGAGTCCACGCTGAGCTCGAACAAGGGAGGGAAGTTCGTGATCGACATGAGCTGCCGCGGCGGGTCGAACGGGCGCGCGACGCCGGGGAGCGCGACATCGCCGGCGTGCAGCCCGAGGAGCAGCGGGGACTACGGGTACGGGCTTTGGCCGTATTGTATGTACAGAGGGTTTGTGATGTCGGCGAGCGTGGAGGGTGAGGGGAGGTGCAGCAAGCCTACGGTGGAGGTGAGTGTGCCGCACGTGAACTGCACGGAGGATGCGGCGGCGTTTGTGGCGTTGGCTGCTGCCGTTGATCTGAGCGTGGATGCTTGCAGGCTGTTCTCTCAGCGGCTGAGGAAGGAGCTCTGCCAGCAGCTGGACTTGGTTGGCTGATTGGGCCAGTTTTTTTTGTTTGTCGTTTCGTGTTTTGCCCCTGTCGTTTTTCAAATTTTTTAGTGGGGTTGTTCATTTTGAGTGAGGCTTTTTACTACTAACAAACAATTTACAGGCTGTACAGAGGAAGAAGGGTGGGAGAGTAAGTAAGTATTAGAGTGGGCGCTGTGTATTCACGTGTGGCTTTTCATTGATTTTCTCTCTTTTTTTCATCAATTATGGGAAATCAAGAAAAAGCTTTTTTTGTTTTGAATATATTTTTTAGCAGAACCTTGCTGCACTGCACTGCTCATTCGTGTTTATATATTGTTTTCTTCTCATTCTTATTGTTTTGCCTTGTTGTTAACTGTAAATATCGCTTTGTTAATTTAAAATAAAATAAATACCTGACAATCCATTTGTATTACTGAATTAGTTAATTCCACTGTTTACTTCTTTGCCAAGTTATTTAGAATTAAAGTGGTTTAAAGAAAGTCATAAATGTTGTAGTTGAAAAAAGAAAACGCCCAAGTCCATAAAGTAAATGGGTAATTAAAATGTAATTGTTTGTTGAATTAATATGCAAAATTAAATTCATATTTCTTTTTCCTTTTTGGTATCCAGGACCCTGGCCCCAGAAACTAACAAAGATCTCTCCGAAAGAGATCCTTCACAACTTCCTTTTCCTTTTAAAATGAATTTGTCTTCTATGGTTTTCTGGTACTATGATTTGAAATATTTTTTATTTTAAAATAAGACGAAAACATTATTTGTTTTCAGCAATGTCTTTGTTTATTATTATTCCATAAATGAATTTGTAACAAACGAACGACGTTCTAAAAGTTTTAATACATGTACTTTTGATATAAAATTATTTTTGAATAGTTGATAGAAGTATTTTTTTTATAAGTTTGCATCATTTGTAAAATATAAGTAAAAAGTAATGACATGGGGAAATAAATATCTTATTTCGTTGTACTTTGTATTTGTATACGAATTGAAGATGAGATGAATTCCGCATGATTTTTTTTAATTGGGTAAAACTAGGGTTTCTAAAATGTTTATACGTTGAAGTTGGATTTCTTATTTAAAAGCTGATTCCCTGAATAAAATGTTTACATTCTATACAATAAATTTTCCTTAGCACACTAAGGCACCCATTTCTTTCCAATTTTGCAGTCAATTTGTTTGAATTACAAATACTTTTTGTTTTAAAAATCTTTTAACAATTATTACTATTATAATTTTTTATACGTATCATGTGTAATTAATTATAATTTTCTTTTTTATAATAAATAAAAAATTATTAAATTTCTTTTAATTTTTGTACTATAAATGAAAAATTGCTCAACATTAAAACTTGAAAGACTTTTTATATGCACCGCGCGTTTTAAAATTAAATCCATTAAAAAATACATAAAAAAAAAGAAGGATTAGCTAGAATAACGTAAGCAACAGGTGTTGGCGAAGAGTGAGAGGTAGCAATGGGGTTAATAGTAAAAGGTGTTAGATTGAATTGAGTAGAGTTAACAGTTAAGTGGGATAAGAAGGATTGTGGCATAGTTTGTTTTGGTTAATGTGGATGATAGCTGTAACGCAGTGCATAGTGAAATAGAGCTCCGGCGTGCTTTAAGGGAGTGAGAAGAAATTAGGCACATAATCAAATGCCAGTAGCCACGGGATTTGGAGGGGCTTGTGGGTGCTATTAATAATTACTGGTAGGGCAAGGCAAGGCACCGTAAAGCGTCTTGACTTGGCCACAAAGCACGTACGCATTACGCATTTTTATTTGAATATAGGATTCTCTTGTTGCACGAGCACGAGCACGAGCGCCACCCAATGAGTTTAAACATTTGTATTATTATTATATTATTCTACCATAGCCTTAGCCATAAACAATTACAATTATCGGAGTGTTGAGTTTGGTGGTGGCGCACTGACGTGTACGTACGTGTGCCATTTTCTTTTCTCTTTAGACACTAGTGTACCAATGCTAAAAATGGTTGTTTGTGTGGGATAAAAAAGGCATTGTCATTTATTAATGGAGAGAGAGGGTAGGTTGTGGTGGGTGAAAACTAGGGCTACGAGGCAAGGAGTGTGTGAATAATGAAGTTTACATAAACATTGTTGTTTTTGGCACTGTAGAAATAGGTTAGGTTGTGGTGTGAAAGACTTGGGAGCTAAGGCAGGTGGGTTGGGTTACTTTTGGTCCCCCACTTCTGAGTTCTGAGTGGTGTGTCATGTAACAGCCTTTTATTGGAAAGTGTTGAGGGATTTGGAGCAGTAATGGTTAAAGAAAAGAACGTGATCTATGTTCTCGCGTTTATCATACGACTCACCACCCACACTGACTAACAACATATCCATTCACGCTCCACTCTTGACTCTTGACCACCTCATGTGCCTCTGCCAGCTAACCAACCATTAATACTTTTTTTTTTTTTACTTTACTATCACCATTTTTCTTCTATCTTATGCTATATGTTTCAAATCCTGTCGTATTCGATTACATATTACTTGCAATCGAATAAATTGTCTTTTTTATATTGAAATCGTAAAACTTTTATTCCATTAGATTTACTTTTATTTGATTAAATACAACTTTTATTATGTTTACTTTCACTCCATTAAATAAATCTTTATTTTCAAAACTTTGAATCGATTAAATAAATTACTCGATTGAAAGTTTAAACTTTTTTTATGATTTTTAATTATTTATATAATTTAAATATATTTAATTAACTTAAATATATTTTTTTAATAATTTTTAATCTAGTTTAGTTTTTACTTTAGATTTATTTAATTACCTTTAGTTAGTCATTTGTTTTTTAGTAAAATAATTATTTATTTATTTATTTATTTATTTACTCTCATCATATATACATAATATTATTTCTTATCTATTTTTCTGAAATAAAAAAACTGAACTTTTATTTTATTTTATTTTACCTATTTTTATTTATCTATTTCTTTCTTTATTTCTCTTTACTTTAATTTTTTTTCTCTCTACAAAACACACCATTAGGTTTGTACGGTCTCGGTCATGGACCGACTTGGTCTCTTTAATGGTGATAGTGTTAATATCCCTACACTCGGTAATTACCCGACTAGGTCCCCAAGCACCCACCTTTCTCGGCCCGATACTGGGGCGACGCAAAGACGAGGCCCGCTCTAGCCTTTTCGCCTTAATGGCTCAAGGCTGGAGCGGGAAGTGTACGGTCTCGGTTATGGACCGACTTGACCTCCTTAATGGTGATAGTGTTAACGTCCCTACACTCGGTAATTACCCGACTATGTCTCCAAGCACCCACCTTTCTCGGCCCGATACTGGGGCGATGCAAAGAAGAGGCCCGCTCTAGCCTTTTCGCCTTAATGGCTCAAGGCTGGAAGGCAAGTGTACGGTCTCGGTTATGGACCGACTTGACCTCCTTAATGGTGATAGTGTTAACGTCCCTACACTCGGTAATTACCCGACTATGCCTCCAAGCACTCGCCTTTAGGGACACTCGGAAATAAGGCGACCGCGATCCCCTTTTCGGCATCAACCTGGGGGAGGGCTCAGTGCGAGCCTATTCGGTCGTGGCCCAACTTGGCCTGGCAAGCTAGATTCTTCTCGCTTACAACGGGACCGCTCGACATGTATCTCGCTGGGCTTTCGGTACAGGCCCTGTCGGTCGGACCCCGATTGAGTTCGTTCCCGCTAATCCCGCGTCGACGTGATGAAAACGGTTAGGAAAATCCCTTGATCCTCGGGGTCCAAGAGGCCCACGAACAACTCACCATAAAACTCGAAACCCTAGAGTTGAAGAGACGGATTACACTTTTTGAATGCTCTGGCTGTACGGCTTGACCTAGGCAGAAACCCTAGTCCACCCCTTGGCCGGAACAAGGTTCAACAAATTTATAGATACGAAAGTATTTATCAATTTTAGTGATTATATTTGAATTTTAATTCAATCAATTTTCCTAACATTTTTTTTTCATTTATAAGGCTTTGAAACTTTATTTATGGGATTTAAACTCAATCGGACCAATGGCTTGTTGGCAAATTTTATTTGTGTATGAATTATGAAATACCCAAGTTCTCATTTTTTTAAAATGAAAATTCCTACAAAATAATAATGTCTTAAAAATTTTGCAGTTGTTAAATGAGTCACCATGATTTATATATCTTATGATCCACTTATTTTGTGGTCTAATCTAGTTATAAGTGGTCTAATCTAGTCACAATGGAGTGAAATTAGTTTATTTATTTATTTAATTTATATGAAAAAAATAAAATAAAATATTGGGCCAAATAGGTTAAGGGTGATGAAGTGGGTTAATACACTTAGCGTCTGTTTGCTTATACGTTGAAAACGTGGAAAACCACGTTCAACGTAGAAGCTATTGAACGTGGTTTTCCACGTTTTCAACGTATAAGCAAACACACGCTTAAAATGGGATAGAACGGATTGACCTATCAAAGAAATGAGCCAGGAAGAGCTAGCACACTAAAGAAAATGAGTTGAAAATGTAATTCACCCTACTAGCAATGAGTTGACCCACTTTACTAAGTTAGTTATTTAAAAAGAGTAAGTTGGTCAACGCATCCAATTTTTTATAAATAAATCTTAATTGAAATAATTTAATATACATTATCGCTTCAGCCTATAATTGTATTATTATTTATAAAATTGATTAGATGGATTATATATTTCTATTCAAAAAACACTATACATAAAAATATACTAGTAAAAAATGTGATTAAAATAATATACTTTTATTTCATATAAAATAAAAATAACTACTTAGAAAGAGAAGTTAACTTATAAAATAAAAGTATTAATCTAACATAAGTTCACAATAAATATATCTTTTAAAACTATAGAAAAAGTAAATTAACAAATTAGTAGATTTATTTATCCAACCTAACCTACCAAAAGTAGATAGATTGATAAATTAAATCACCATAATTAATTACATTGTTACCTTTTAAATAAGTTGAATAAATTATAATTATAATTATAATTATAATTATTGCTTGTGTTAGATTATAGACTTAAATATACAGTATAAGAATTATACATCATAGCTTAACAACATGACATGTGAGAATGGATCAAATATGTCAAAATGTTAAAGATCATATATGAACCCATTACACTTAATTTGCTCATAACAATAATATTTAACTATTAAGGTATTTAATTTCTTTTATATATAAACGAAAGTTATAAATATATATCCTTTTAATAGAAAGTGAAACTACACATTTATATCTCAGAAAAACAAAATTATTTTTTCTTATTCTTATTATCAGTGTTATATTTTAATTTTCAAATTAACTTTTACTTTTCTTAAGATG